CAAAACCAGCGGTGTGGGTAGAATTTCACCATCACCATGTCTCCCACTTCAAACTCCAAATGCCGCCTTTTCTTGCCCGCACACTTCTTCATCTTATTACTAGCGCGGGCTAGGTAAGACTTAGTCATCTCCATCTTCTCGAACCAGCCTTTCGCAAACTTGTAGGCTGCCGAATTGTTGCCTCTATAGCCCGTTGCTGCCGTCGTAGCTGTCAACGGTTGTTGCCTCGTCGCCAACTCAAATGGACTCGTGTTGGTCGACTCGTTGCGGTGCAAGTTGTAGGAAAATTGAGCCGTATCAATAAACTTCTCCCAATCTCGGTGGTTAGCACTCACATAGTGCCTCAAGTACCCGCTCCTTCTGTTCGTTGCTTTGCAGATGAAATGCTGTCGAGAAGTTCTAGTCAGAGCCCATGATCTTGCACAACTCACGCCAAAATCGGCCCTTGAAGCGCCCATTGTTGTCGCTCACAGTGTTGCTAGGAATGATCTCTTTCCTCAAGTTGGCCCATCTTGGCACGAACACACACTCTCCCTTGGTCATGATGAGCCTATCATTCATCCAAAGCCGTCGAGGCTTACCTTGCTTGATGTACTCGACCACTATTTGGGGAAGGGGTCATGGTCAAGGCCTTCGACGATGCGCTCATTCAAAGGAACACGGGCTGACTGATGCTTGCGGCTGCACTCTAGAGGCTATGAGCATCTTCAATGGAGTTCGTCTTTCCTGGAATGTACTCCACCACAAAGTCGAACTCGACCAAAAAATCTTGTCACCTCGCTTGCTTGGGGGTGAGCTTCTTCTGAGTAAGGAAGTAGCTTGTCGCAACGTTGTCTTCACTACGAACTTTGATCCCAACAAGTAGTGCCTCCATGTGAGCTAGCAATGTACCACGACCGTCATCTCCTTCTCTTGGACCATGTATCGCCTCCCCATCTCGTTGAGCTTGCGACTCTCGAAGGCAATGGGATGCCCATCTTTCATCAAAACACCGCCAATTGCAAAGTCGGATGCATCGGTCTGCACTTCATAGGCCAACGTCGAGTTGGGGAGCCCAAGCATGTTCTCCTTCATCACCGCTGCATTCAAGGCCTCGAATGCTTCTTGGCACCTTTCCGACTACTCCCAGACCTTGTTCTTCTTCAAAAGATCCGTCAAGGGTGTTGCAATGTTGGAGTAGCCCTTGATGAACCTTTGATAATAATTTGCAAGGCCGAAGAATTAACGCAACTCTGGCACCTTCGTAGGTGGCTCCCATTCTTGGATCGCTTCCACCTTCGCCCATCCATTTTTAACATGCCTCCACCAATGATGTGCCCCAGAATGGAACCTCTATGGCGGCAAAAGTTCACTTCTCCCACTTGACATAGAACTCGTTGTCGCGAATGACTTGGAAGACTTGACGTAGGTGCTCAACATGCTCATCGAGTGTTTTATTATAAACTACGATGTCATCCAAGTACACTACGATGAATCGATCCAAGAATGGCTCGAACATTTGAGTCATCAAAGTTCAAAATGTGGTTGGTGCGTTGATAAGACCGAATAACATCACATGAAACTCGTAAGAGCCATACCACGTCACACAAGTTTTATTTGGCTCATTGCCCTCTGCTATCCGCACTTGATAGTAGCCCGAGAAAAGATCAATTTTGGTGAACCACATCGCATCTCCAAGCTGGTCGAACAAGTCTGCGATGTTGGGAATTTTCCACTTGTTCTTCATCGTCAACTTGTTGATGGCTCTATAGTCGATGCACATGTGCAACGACCCTTCCTTCTTCTTTTGGAACAACACCAGTGCTCCAAAAGGTGACTTCGATGGACGCATGTAGCTTGCGTCCAACAAGTACTTGAGCTGCCTCCACAACTCTTCCAACTATGGTGGGGCCATGCGTTATGGTGCTAGCGAAGGGGGCTTCACTCCTGGTTTCTACTCGATCTTGTGGTCAACCTCTCGTCTTGGTGGCAGTTTCTTGGGCAACTCTGATAGCATCACATAATCGAATTGTTCAAGCACACCTTCGATGATGGGAGTTGTGATTCCCGTCAAGCCTCCTTCTTCCTCCATCTTCAAGGACACAAGAAATGGTGACTCCTTCTTTTTCAACCCCTTCAAAACCTACATTGCATACAAAGCACTATGGGGCCATCTTCTCTCAAGAGATGGACCACATGGAACTCCCCTCCCTTCTACAAGCACATCGTGTTGGAGTTGGGCTTCAAGAGCACTCCCTCCTTGTCGAGGAACTGGATGCCAATGATGATTGAGTGATCGTCCATGGTGATGATGGAAAAGTCGATGATGTCTTCCCACTCACCAAACTTCACTGAGAGGTTGTGAGCAACTCCATGGATCGGGATGGACTCCGAATTGATAGTCTTGAGCCACCCTTGCCCCTTCTGGTAGGCAATACCTAGCCGGTTTGCCTCCTTGATGCGAAGGAAGTTGTCTGTGGCACCGGTATCCACCAAGGCTTTTGACTCCACTTGCATATATTGGGTCAGAACGTAGCACTTCCCACGCTTGCTCTCTTGACGCCTGTCTTCACCTCGCCAAGCTTGCGGATTGAGCCAATCCTGGCCTCCGCTGCCTTGGGCTCTTCATCTTGAGCTTTCATGGCCGACAATCTCGCCTTTCTTGGGGAATCTCGCACTCGATGTGGACCATCGCAAAGGAAACAAGTAAGAGGCTTTGGTTCGAACTTACCCCTTTGCTTGGACCACCATGTTGTGGAGTGCAAGTGCCTTCGTTGAAAGGTTGACGTGGTTCTCCACCCTTGCTGGGCTTTGAACTCTTCTCCTTGGTGCTGCTCTCTCACCTTTTGTACTCAACAAAATCTTTGTTGTGGCCATGATTGTTGCAAGGTCTTGGTCTTCTCGACGTTGCATCTCCATCTTGGCCCCGATTGCAGCCCATCAAGAAAGCCATGCATTGCCTCCTTGTTCGTGATGTATGGGATCTCAAGAAGCAGCTCCGAGAATTTATTCACATATTCTCAAAATCCACCCCTCTAAGTGAGCCTCGTCAACTTTGAACGAGCTTTGAACTCCACGTTCTCTGGATAGAACCGCTTCTTGATTTCTGTCTTGAGATCATCCCATGTTGCCATCACACAAGTACCCCTTTCGACGTCTGCTTCATGCCGCCTCCACCAAACCACAACAATATCGACCAAGTGAAGTGGAGTGGTATGAAGTTTTACCGCACCCTTTTCGATGTCGGATGCCTTGTAGTACTGCTCTAGAATCCAAAGCAAGTTCTCAAACTCCCCCGGGTTCCTTGAACCCCCGAAGTTCTTCAGTCTTGGAACGTCACCACGTGGGAGAGATTTCATCGGGGCTGGTTCGCTAGCCATGTCTCTCTTCATGAGAGTGACCTCACTCTTGAGATCTGCAATCTCCTCCTTCACGCCGCCCAACTAAGTCTGGACATGCTCTTTCACAACTTCGATTGCGTTGTTCATTGATTTGGAGATGGTTTTGTTATGAGGGAGGGCCACAAGCTCTTCTCGCAGTCCATTATGCTCGATCTCCAAGCTCGCCAAACGAGAAGTCACTCCTTGAACATCGCTTTGGACTTGGGCGAAGTTAGCTCCCAAATTCCCCATGGCGGTGACATCTTCGGCCACCTTCACCTCCACTCTTGAGACGCGCTTCTCTAAAGCTGCAACTGGATCACGAGTACTCGATGTGCCCTTAGGCCTCGAGGTCCTGTTAGGATCTCTTTCGCTTTTAGTTTAGGATCAGTAACGCCACCTTTTGATCCCGACGTTTTTTGTGACGCTCTTCCTCTTCGTTTGGCTATGCTTCTTCTTTGCTAGCACCAAGCCAAACCAATCTCTGATACCACTTATCACGGCCTTACTCTCGGTCGTGCGGTCTTAGCTCTCAATTCCGTTAGAGAATGAAGCAGCTTTCTCTCAAACTCACGTGCAAGCAAAGAAAGCAAGAAGAAAGACAAAGAAGATGAGAGAACTCTCTACTGTGTATTATTCTAAAAAAATGATGGAATGAGTTACAAGTGAGGGAGATGACTCCTTATATAGACATCTCCACATACAAGGCATCAATGCCCCTTCATAATGGTCCCTCTACATCAATACCCACATAAAGTCCCCCCCATAATGCACTCCTTAATACCACACATAATGTAGCCCATAAGTGCACCATAATGCTCATAAAGGTTGGGAGAATCCTAGAGGCATCTCTATGCTTCTAGTCTTCCATACACGTCACATGTGCATGTCATGTTGTCACCTAGTTGGCGTCATGTCATCTGCCACATGTGACGATACCTAGTGGGCATATATGATGAGAACCCTATATGCATGAGAGCTGATCGGACATGTAGTTTGCCATTTTTTTCATTTGTCTATCAACTTTTAAATAATTAATGTCATATGTTATTGGGACCGAAGTCATTTTTAGCTTTCCCAAATTGTTAAACATAATAGTTGACCAAATGTTGCTCTCATGTTAGTCGACTCTCAATGACATGGTGTTTATATGTCAATGATATAAGATTATAAGTCATTCAACAACGACAATGTAGTACTCAGATTGTGGATCAGGTTCAAATCCAAACTTGAACGAGGAGGGTATCTAGTATATCTAAAATAGGCTTCGGAAGTGGCATTTGGGTTTTTCCAAGAAAAATGAAGAGTTCTTGATTTGGAGGGGTAGAAATGGCGAAGCGGTACTGGTGGAGGAGAAAATGGAAGAGATGATCTAGGAGGATGGGGACTGGGGAGCGATTAGAGAGAGAGTTGAAGTTATAGTCGCCACACAACAATTTTCACTCTGCAATTGAGAAGCGAGAGAAGTTTTATTCATCTATGTCATGGGCATTTCAGTTCTGAGTTTCTTTATGGCCCAGAAAGAGATGATAAATCATTGCCTTCAGTAGTGTCTCCCACTTGACATGGAACGAGAAAAAACCACAACCAAAGAAAAGGATCAATAACTCAATTATATGGAAGTAACCAATCTTTGGGTCCATAGTTAATGTTGTTTTGTTTCTGTATATCGAACGTGAACCCATGTTCTTCTTCCTGTACGGTAAATAACTAAAAATATGGAAGTAACCAACCTTTGGTCCATACTTAGATAGATCCCAAGTCCCAACATTTGGGACTTGGCAATACAACCCAAGTGTCCAAGTCCAACACAAGGTTAAGAATGGGTATTGCAGAAGACATGACTTTTTCTCTCCCAAAGCCTAGGGCGAACTAGGCTTAGTCCAAGGAGATACCAAGACTCGGACTTGCCTGGCTTTCTTCAATAAAACAAGAGGGTTCGGCCGCTAATGTCTGGAAGACAACCGCTTCGCATATATAACACAGCAGGAGCCCCCCTCCCAAAATAAAAAGACTGGTTGTCTCGTTCTCAAATGACTCGAGTCACTCTCGAAAATACATTATTGGCACGAATGTCACCGTCAGTTGATTCCATATGTTATGGTTTCAAAGTCGTAGCAGGATTCGTCTGACGATCACTTGTTCTGCTGATGTGAAGGTGAGGAGTGCCTGGCTTCCTTGTTTGTTGCTTCTTTTCGTTGGCACCTTGGCTTCTGGGTAATGTTGCATCCTTCGGAACTGGTCTTCAGCTTGCTTGTACGCCTATTCCTTGGTCTTAATTTTTGACACCAACGAAGTGCATGAGAGATGTTCAGAAAACAAAACTGTGCTACTTGTAAGCGCAGAGCCTGAGATCCATCTTGTACATAGCAGCAAGAGTAATTTACAACATGTTTGATTCAGAAGAGGCCAGGGAGATCACCAATTCACCACAGTCAAATCATGCTAACAGCGACCCACAACACAAATCGAAAGACAACATGCTCCATCTTTCATTGCCAATTCAACCAAACCCAAAACGAAAAACTAATAAAAGCGAAAATGAGCATTTATCTGGGCTCTTGCCTTGACACATGTATACTATCACTATATAGGTTGAATGGTTGATGATATACATACTTGGAGGAGATGTGTTGCATTGCATGGTAGTGGCTCAGTGGCCAGCGCCACAACCTGTAGTTGCTTTGGTAACCAGAAGCGAGATGGATGATTGATGAATACAGCTACGTACGGCAACTCTTGCTGCCCTACATGCTCTCCTCCTCATTATTCCCTTTCTCCTGGCCTTCCCGTTTGCACGCTAATGGTGAAATGCAGAGTACTAACAAGCAACCGACTCCTCTTCTAGGCTGATGAAAGACTGATTGATGCCATGCCTCCCTCCCTCTCAACCCGCTAACAAATAAACATCCAATAGGATAGATAATATATACTTTTAGCACAAACAAGCTTAGCTTTGCTCTCTAGTCAGGACTCAGGGAAGCGGCGCTGAACTCTTGCTTCTTCCTCTTCTTTCTCACTTACATCACTTGCCTCCCTGCTATGATTTGTGACGTCCTAATAATAACTTGTTCAACTGAGCTATTTGATTTAGGAGCTCAACTATTTTCTGCCCACAAAAAAACCACATAAAAAATCAATATTACAGTGCAAAACCACGCAGAGCAGAAGCAAATAGCCTTCTATAGAAGAAGGCATTTTCGCAAACACCTAACAAGCAAAAATGTACCGGAATCACAATGGACGGAAATTATGAGTTACTACATTAACCATACCTCGTCTTTCTCTCTCGTGATCTGCAGCAACCGTCCAACGCTATTACTTCGCTGTAGGCTTCTCCTCCTTCTCTCTCTCAACCACCACCACATTACAGACGCCGCCGCAACCGTAAGCCCAACATTCCCGATCGTCCAAACAACCTTGCAACTACAAAACTTGGTTCGGATAATCTGAAGAGCGACTCCCCACCATCTGGGCGCCGCTGAATCGGGAAGAGGCGAAGGTGGGAGGTCAACTTCCGACGAGCAGTACGATAGCGGAGACTGCGGAAATGATCCGTCTGGGTCGGAATCGAATTGCTCGGACGAGGATGGGCTTGAATTGGACGGGGGATACAAGAGGGAAGAGATCGGTGAGGCTAAGAGCGGCGGCGCCTCCTCCGGGTCCGTATTTTTAATGAGAAGAGCGGAGGAGAAGTGCTGCGGCAACTGGTAACCGGAAAGGGAGGATGAAGGTGTGAGATTTTCATGGCTGCTTGGAGGGAAAATTGAGAAATCAGCGCTGTTGGTTGGAGAAGAATCACGGATGACAACCATAGGCAATGGCTCGGAACAAAACTTGTGGTTCTTTATCAAGGAAGAAGATTGAGGAACAGAGGGAGCATCCCTGTTGGAGAAGACGTCAACGGGGTCGCCATAGAGTCCCGCCATTGTTGAGCACAAAGAAGCATCAGAAGGCGCCGGACGGAAATTCTTCTGTTGGGGAAATGGAAGCGAGCTGCTGATGAGGAAAAGGCAGAGACAAAAGCGTACGCATACTTCTCGTTTGGATCCGAGAGTGGCTCGCTCCCTATTTGTCCAAAGTCCAAACTGTTTTCGGGCGTAACTATTGTTTTTCATTATATCAAATTTCAGATTTTGGTTTAGAAAGGGATTGTTAATTGTCGCACTATATTTTACTATATTTGTTTTAAATTAAAATTCAAGATTTGTGTGGTTTATTTATTAGAGGTTAGGATGTATTATCATACTTTAAACTTGATTTAATTTATGGTTTATATAGAGATTTTCATTAGTGGTACTTAGAGTATATTATACTCCTGCAGTACACCAGTCTGACCCATATATTGTTTACTTTAACTTCAAATATAAATATTTTTAAATCAGATTATTTATGCATATATACAGGGTAGCGTAAGCCAGGCGTAAGCTTACCTTACCATTCGCTAATTGAGTTTTGTTATTTAGACCATGAATTAATTAGAGTTTGGGGCATGATACTATATCCTAATCTCTGACTTGCATGAAACTACACCACAATTAAACCCCAATTAGAGCCCAAGTTTTTAAACTCTAATTGGGTGCAGTATAGGGAAAGTATTTAGTCTACCCCTACTTCGGTTGTTGAAATCATTATCTAGCGATAAAACTTTGGTTTAAAGGTTTACTATGGTCTCTAACCACGTCTCAATTGCTAAACCAAGGTGAGGATGAAAGGTCGTGTCACTCGACCCTCTCGGTTTAGACAATCGGTAATCGACTTACTGCCTCACTCAACTCTAAGGTCGAACGGTTAAACCACGATTAATCGACTTGTTCAATTCAATATTGAGGGTTGCCCTAACTCAACCTAGTTTAGGTGGCTTAGAAAGCAGAAGGAAAACCAACTCGATTGAGTCTCCCTTTAAAGGGGGATTTTCCTCTCTAAACTAGGCTATGGTGACAAAATAGATTACTAGCACCTAAATGCACAGACTTAGGGGAGCTAAGCACAATTATGCACAATCCCTAGGATGCTAAGCACAAAATATGCACAACCCCTAAGTTGCTAAGCACAAGCATGCACAATCATGGTGCATAATGACTCAAACATTAAATTGAACAATACCCAATATCAATCATCCAAACCACATACAAGAAAACTACATGGTAGAGTTAGGGTTTCACTACACCCAAGTGATAGGAGGACTACTCCATGGAAGAAGTGGGAAGAACAAAAGGGAAAAGGGTGGAAACCATCTTTTGGGGATGCCTCCTCTCTTCTTGACCCTTCAGCTAAGATTTCCTTGGGGAAATCTTCCCAAAATCTCCTTAAAGGCAAGCCCTAACCTCTTCTTCTCTATCGGTTTTGTTTCTCTCACTAGAATGCTGAAGAAGGTGTTTCTCTCACAAAAGTGGGCTCTCCCCTTGTCTCCTCCTTGCAGCTCAGCTTTTAAACCTGAGAAGAGATGAGTTCACGACCTTGAACTATCAAACGCGTCCGTGAACTCAGGGCGAGCGCCAAAATGCTCCGCATCGCCCTCATCAGTTCACGGGCAACTGCTTGTGTTCTCTGTCTTAGTGACCGTGAACTCACCTTGCGTTAGTAACCTTCACATTGGCTCTGGACGCCTTGCGATTCACGGTCAAGTCTCCTTCTTCGCGGTCTTGCATGACCATGAACTCCTTCAGTTAGCCGTGAACTGGCTCTTTTTCACCTCTTTTCCCGATTTTCGATCCTTTTCGCCAATCTTTTGACTCCGAGGCTGGTTTCACCTGTTTAATCCTGAAACATACTCAAACACGAAGAACCTCGCGTAAAACCAACCTTTAATGAGCGAATTCGGCACAACATCTAAGTCAAACGGAGGCAAAACATGTGTAAATAGGCCCGAATCACTCCACCACACTTAGACGTTTGATTGTCCCCAAGCAAACCATTTCACGCACACAGTAATATTTCAACCTACACAAATGCTTTGGGGACAACTCAAAGGACGCGAAGCGGGAATTCTCGATGTTTATTGATAATCTACACATGACCCGTTGCAAGCAATACCGACATCCACCACAAACGACATTCAAAGCCACCAAACTGGGCAAATGAAAAGTTCTCAACTTATTCATGGATAAATGCAAGTCTCAACAAAACCACTTATCGACCACAACCAACCATGCATGGAATTCAAGTCCGAGGAACAAATGGAAAGGCAACGAAGGTCCTCACCGGGGTATGATATGACATGCAAAGCAAGAATGAATCGCTCACTCTCAAGACCAGTGGGGTCGGGACCTTTTTGATGCAAAAGATGTGCACAATCGTAACCTCTCGGCCCTATCGTCTGAATAGCACGGTGGTAATCTCTAAATGCTAGAGTTCACGGGATGGTTGTCACCACTAGCTCGTCTGAAGGTCTTAGACATGGGTTCAAATGACTGGCGATTGGCTTGGACATGGGAAAAATGCTTTTTGGGTGGTGGCAATCATGATGTGAGGTTCTAGACAATGTGGGGGGTTTCGATGGCTTGGGTTCCAAGAAACCCCTTCCTAGAGCATGTACTTTGTTTTTCGTGGCACTCTCTACTTTATTTACCCCATTTTATTACCTCTTTTTCATTTCTCTTTTCTTTTCTTTCTCTTTTTTACTCTTTTTGAGGGGGGGGGGGGGGGGGTATTGGAGTGTAAAAACACTTGCCACCTAAACATTTATCGACCAATGCTCTCTTTTTGAGGAACTAACTCAAACACTACACTCCATTTTGCACTCCTAGCAAGAACCATACATGAACCTCCTATGTAGAACCTCTATGGAAACTCAACGGTAAGAGCTCCAGGACGCACGGGCGACTCATGTTTGGACACGAAGAAAGGATTTGGGGGTCGTTCTACTAACACCTTTAAGCTCACATGAACGAAGCTCCTAAATTGAGAACGACCCACGGAGTCACACGACTCAATGGGGTTGACTAAGGGATGATGCATCTCGGGACAATCAACTTTTGGGGCGTGGACTAATCTTATGCCTCCATCATACTTGCTAGTGATAACTTGTGAGGCTACACACCGTGGTAAGAGGGAACTATCACACCAAAAGAAATGAACGGCTCAAAGCTCACAAGCTACCTTGTTACCCAACCATCTATTCCAATTCACAAACACGATGCATGGCAATTGTAAACAACAAGTGATCAAGTCAAGAAATACATTTCATTTATGCACACTTTGAGAACTAAACTTTTGCCCTATCCTAATGAACTTCTCAGTCATCATCATAGGATACGCTCAATCACATGCACAGTTCAAGATTAATGCCGCAAACACGAGAATTTCCCACCATCCAGCCACTTTGAATATGCAACCGTTGCTTGGAGACCTCAAAATTTTGAAATTTGGGCACACAAAAGCTCCAAGCAACATCGCACTAATAGAAGCATACTAGTAGACTACCCCCCCCCCCCCAACACTTAAACTCGGCATTGTCCTGAATGGCGTAAGAAAGGGGTAGAGTGATGTTACCGCTTGGGCTTGATGAGTGAATGTAGGAATCAAACCAGGGTAGGATAATTGGAGCTTCAAGGAGAGACAACAAAAAACACACATAAGCACAATACAACTCGCTCGAGGCGAGGTTATTACCAACACAATACAAAGTAGTAGTAGTTCATGTCAGACACACACAAATAACAAAAACAAAAAAATAAAACAAGTTTAGGGTTACAAGTAGAGAAGTGGGGAGAAAGGACTCCGCTCTGCCACATGTCTCTCTCGTCGGCTACCTCTCTCTGGTGGATGGACCGTCGCCATCATCGGCTAGGATACCCTGGTGTCGAGCCATGCGCTCGAGGATGTCGGACTGTCACTCGAGGCGGGATGAGAATCTCGAGAAGCCCATCTCAAGGCGATCCACCCTCTGGACGAGGGGATCGCCTGCTCCCGGTGGTGGTGGCTACTGTGCAGGGCGCGGGAGAGCTGGACGCCGGCGGCGGCCAGGTGCACGAGCAGGCGGCTACTCTACTGCTGGTGGGACCTCAGGGTCGGGCTACACTGGAGCTGGTGCTAATATAGCTCGAATGACTCCGGAGGGTCGGAGTCTATCGAGGTACTCCACTCCCCTCTTGCCCTGGAGTGCCAGCTTCTGGTTGTATAATGTCTTCACTCGGAAGGGCTCCATCCTTCCTACGCTGGTGCAGCGGGCCAGATCCACCTGGAAGTGTCGGGCTATCCTCGTGTCCACTCTGTTTCGCCCCGGACACCAGGCGAAAGAGGTGGCAATCAACGATCCCAGATGGATCGGCTCAGGTGGACTCCTCATCGAGTAGAGGGAAATGAGCCCTCTGGTCGTCATCAAGTGGCCTACCTGGAGGGTGAGGACAACGGATCTGGTGAGCAAAGTATGGAGAATCCTCCACTGGGTCTGTAGCTTGGTAGCATTGGTCTTGCTCCCCTCGAACTCGCTCTGCTCGTGCTCTAGGCGAGAGAGGGCTCTGAATGCGTCCTGATAGTCGAAGTCGACCGTGTACTGCCGCTCCGTCATTGTCATGTGAGCGGTGTCGAGCCCTATGGCCTGAGCGAAGCCATCATAGGTCAGCACTCGCGGCTGACCGCCCAGCATGAACTCCACCCGGGGGTGGCTCTTCTTGCTGGCCGGGACGATGTGGGAGAAGGTGGAGTAGAACTCCACACACAGCTCGTGGAAAATATCCTCGTCCATGGTCAGGAGAAGCTCAAACCACTGTGGCAGGGTTGCGGGTATGTCACGGTACAAGAACACAAAAATTAGAACCACAACCTCTACCACGGTGGCTACCATCCACCAATCAAAAACAAACTCCACTTGCATTCATAACATAACACTTGGTAGACAAATTCTAAAAATGAACACTATTTGGTTCAAACACGCCCACCACGGCTCACTAAACTCATGCAATAATCAATCCATCAATTTGATTCATATATCACTACACACTATCCTAACTATAGGCCAAGTCCAGCCTATAATCAGGTGTAGGTTAGGATAAGTATTTCAATATCAACCAGGGCGAACTTTTATCCTTACTTCAATTGTGCACACGTTAACTAGCAATCAATTCATGGTTAAAACTAAGGAAACTAAACAAAGTAAACAAGCAAGCAATAAATATTTGGTGAATTCAAATGAGAAAAAATCACCCGGATATTGCTCCCCCTAGTCTTGTGTTAAAACGCAAAGATGAGACTCTAGTGCGATAGGTAGGTTTATATACCGTAGGCGATCAAAATTAGCTAGGAATTCAATTCAAGTGTTTCCTAGTCCACTTAATCAATTGACTAAGGCTTGAATAACTATTCCCTTGGAAATTAATCTGAAAACAAGAAAACGTAATCCATCAAGACGTATCATGCCACTTCTTCGATGATCAAGGGTTGACCCGAATCGGCCTAGAGAAGGTTACCCGAATTGCCAAGAGTGGGCTATAAGGGGATTTCCTCCTTCTAGGTCAAATTGTCCCTAAGTTGAGGGATTTTATCATGAACACCCAAATTTCCCGAATAATACCTCAATCATTATATATATCACAAAACCAACACACATAGAGTTTCAATTCCTACAATCTAACACATCCTAGATGCTTGATTCAATCCTTGGAGAATAAGCCTCCAATCCCTCTCTAGAACTCCCCTCTCTTCCTTCAGATAACTCTCCTACTTATAGCTACAACCACTCAAATCACAGTCCAACTTCACGCTTGTGAAGTAGGTAGGGAAACCGTGTTCTCGACACAATACTTGCCATTTCACTAACCAACTTCATAGTCGGGAGACCGTGACATTTGCAGTGCTCGCGAGTTGTGTAATGGGATCTAGATCTGTTGCAAACTTCACAGTCTAAGTGCTAGTATCACAGTCAGGGGGCTGTGATAATAACCTTGTCGCAAGTTGTACAAACCCTCTTGGGCACAAGCGATCTTCACTGTTTTAGTGTTGACATCTGTTACACCCCGCTATTCCCAAAAGTCAAAATGACTATTATACCCTTGGGTCAAGTTCCATCGTATTATCGATGAGGATTAAAAATGTGAACTAATAGTTCAAACGGTGTCGAGTTTTGACATGAAGTGAGAAAATTATGGACGTTAACTGAGTTTCGTATAAACTCACCCAAAATTGTCAAATTCCCAAAATTCCCCGGGTCAATTAAACCTAAGCTAACCCTAATTACCCCACCCCCACTCGGCATCATTTAGCCAAGTAGAATAAATCCCATTTGTTTTTACCTCCGCTGGCATATATCACAAATCGCCGCCCAAACCCTTTCCCTTAGCACGTCAATCTCTCCTTTACAAATCGACAGCCATGGCTCGAACGAGGGGGAAGGCAATTAATAGCTGGAAAGTGGCGCTTCCTTGATGTATGTGAAAAACATACTGAAGCCCTCCACGTCGTGAATCCCTTGCGCATGTCTCACCTGCTCAACAGTTCCAATCAAATTAGCTTCTGCAACAGTTCCTTCGGTGGAGATATTAAGGGAAAGAAGGCTGCAAAAATATGTTGACTGCAGAAGAGAGACCAAGGTGAAGAATTTTAGTGCGGTGTAATGGATACAGAGTTGTAGTGGGACCGCCGGCATCCTCCATCTATTTTCTGGCGCTGCTGCCCTGCCTGCCACCGAGGTATTATGAAGCCTCCTGTGATAATAATGGAGATGGCATTTTGTTGATGGGACACAAACATAAAGGAAATCAATTCCCTTCTCATAAGCAGACTGGAAAAGCCGGACATGGTCGAGTTAATGGAAGTTTAGAGGCCCTATTGATTGGGCCACTCGGATATCGTCATTGATGCAGATGTGTGATGGGTCACCAGGTGTTGTCTCGGCCATATTAGCTTTGAAGGTTTTGAACAAACGACAAGGTTGGAGAAACTAAAATGACTAAAGTTTGGAAACCGATTCAAGTTACCGGCTTGATTTGCAAGGTGAGTGTAAAGGGGGTAAATTCTACGCCTTACGTATTTTTTTTAAGTATTTTATGGAATTGGTTACCATTGCTTGATTATGTTTATGATTGATTATTTGTGCTTTGCTTGAGCTATGGTTTAAGGTGATTCGTGGTGACTTTGTGCTATTTACCTTAAAGCTTTATGTTATGAGTTATTGTTAAAGTTTAAGAAACAAGTTCTTTTTAAGAAGTAACTCACCTTCAAGAAGGTGAAGTCGTTTTAAGTGTTTTTAGTCACTAGCGCCAGTCCGTTGCCTTTTGAGACATTTTGAGATAGAGCAGCAGTTATGCTCTTGAGACTTTTAAGATGAGCAGCAGTTATGCTCTTGAGAATCGTGGTGAAGAGCCACCACGATGAGTTTAAGATGTTAGGGGGATGAATCGTTACGAATCCCCTGACTAAGTTTAAGTTTAAGGAAAGTCTGGATGGCTTCTCATACGTATGAGTTGGGAAACCGAACTTGCTAGTGAGGGATCCCCGTGTCAGTCAAGTATTTAAGTCAAGACTTGAGTTTTAAGAGAGGAGAGTAACTTCAACTCCCTCAAAGTTTAAGAGTTAAGATTTTAAGATTGGAAGTACAAACAACTTCCACTAGTTAAAGTTAAGTGTTTAAGTAAAGTACTCAAGTATTAGAAGTATTAAAACGTAAGGGCGTAGACTGACCCCATCTCACTCACCTGTTTGAAGAGCTAGAGAAGCATTTAGTGAGCAGCAAATTCGAGGGCAGGCAGCTAGAGGAGGACAGTATAAGCGTCACAGAGGATGCTTAGTCAAGGTTTCAGTAGCAACAACATTAGAGATTATTAGTTATTTACATTTATGATTATGAGTATAGACTGGAGATCATATTGAGATTTTTTAAAGTTTGAGTTTAATTTGCCCACGTGTTAGGCTTTGCTCGGAACTACAAGTGCGTTTTCAGTATTTTGTTTATGAAAATTTTTCCCGTTGCAATTTAAGATTTGAGTATTTTATTTGCCAAGGGCATTTTAGTAAAAGTAGTACCCGACCGGGTTAGGGTGTTACAACATCTGCCACCCGTGATAATCTTGGCCTGGTCGTGATCTTTGCAGTATTGACAATTTCACTTCCTTTTTGCCCTCTTTTGTGTGACTTTAGATCCATGTACCAAGATTACCTGCTTAAGTCTGAACATGACAAATAATGGGCAAACCCCGCATAAACTAACTCAAAGGACGGTGCAAACATATCAAACGTCTCAAGTCCTATTTATACAGTCCGAGGGTCAACTTCACGGTTTGGCAGCTGAGATCACGATCTCATACCATGATCCTAACAGGAAAATCGTGATCTCGGCTAAAAACGGTTAGTTTTGGGTTGAAGTGCATTAAAATCAGTGGCCCATCATGTCTGCAAATCTCAAGAATGCCAGTCGACATCACAGTTAGGGTGTAATTATCACGGTTTTAGCCGTTGAAGTTTAAACTGAACCCGTGATGTGTGAAAAAACAAGGCATTTTCACAATTCTCAAACTCAATCAATTCAACTGTACCCCAAACTCAAACACAACACATTCATCGATCAAACACATCTACCATGGGCATGGTGAACATTCAAAACTCACACACTTGACTCTAAGACACACAAAAAAGATAAAAAAAAATAAGATAAAAAATACAAACCAATGTTGGTTGCCTCCCCAGAAGCACTTGTTTTACGTCCTTAGCTAGATGTTACGGATCATCATGCTTTAGAAAATGAGGCCGCCCAGAGTGGATCCATCACAGCCTCTAGGCAAGGCTTTTCATCTCGGATCACCATTTCCAAAGGATGGCCCTCATAACTAGAGGTGTCAATCGAGCGGGTTTGGGCTGGGTTCATTCGGGTTGCGGGTTGGTCGGGTTGCGGGTCGATCTGGATGTGGGTTCATCGGGTTCGGGTTGATCGGGTTGCGAGTTACTCGGGTTACGGGTCACTCGGGTTGTGGGCCAATTGGGTTGCGGGCCAATCGGGTTATGAGTCAATCGGATGCGGGTCAATCGGGTTGCGGGTCGGGCGGTTCGGGTTGTGGGTTTTACGGACCAGCACATCGCGTTACTTTTTAGTGATTACTAGTAAGTCGTAAATCGTAACTACATGAAGCTAGCACAATACTTGTAAAAAAAAGGAATCACTACTCAAAGTCAAAGACTCAAAGGTGGGGGAAAACAAAATTTTGGGGAAACATTACAGGGGGAATTATTGGCGGGTCTCGGCGGGTGGGGGAATCAAATTTTTTTTATGGAAATTTTTTTTATGGGAAAGGGGGGAATCAAATATTTTAGCAGTAGTATTGGGGGAACCCAAAATTTGAAGAGAAAAGTTTTAAAATAGTTTTTTAATTATTTAAAAACAAGTGAAATTGTTCATATAAATGTATAGAGAAATTCTTGGTTTAGCTAGTTAATTGTTTATATGATTTTTGTATTAAACTAAATTATAAAATTTAGAAAAATTATTGTGAGTTCAATTGTAACTTTACTCGATAACATATAATCTAAACTCTAAATAGTCTATACCCTGAACCCCAAATGATTTTATGTGCACTATTAGGTTGATGATGTATCTAAATCAATATTTGATGATATTATATGCGTTAATAGGTTGATGATGTATATTATTATACTAAGTTAACAATTTATTATGTAATGATTAGACTTTAGTGAACTAGGATTTCAAATGTCAACTTTTGGTTTATCTTCATCGAATTCCTTCTATTATAGTCGGGCTGCGGGTTGCTCGGGTTACGGGTTTGGGTTAGTCGGGTTGCGGGTTGGTAGGATTTGCGGGTTAATCGGGTTGCGGGTTGGTCGAGTTGCGGGTTGGTCGGGTTGCGGATCGGGCGGGTTACGGGTCATTAACTTTTAGTCAAATCGGGTTGCGGGCGAGTTGCGGGTCGGGTTGATCGGGCGGGTTACATTTTGACAGCTCTACTCATAACCACTTCCTTTCTCCTTGCCCTTGTTCTTACCTCAGGACAAGGCTCCATTCATCTTTTTGCACCACTTTTTCCTCTTCTTCTTATTCTTATTATTATTATTATTATTATTATTATTATTATTATTATCATCATCATCATCATTAACTTTGGGTCTTGCACCTGCCTTCGATTCTTGCTTCGCATCACCACAAACACGAGGAGCACAAGTGGGATTTGTCTTGGAAGGCTTAACTCCACTAACAATAACACCATTCGATTCTATCACAACCACATTATCAATTTTATCATTTGTATCAATAAAAAAGGTGATACTCTCCTCATCATTCCTCAAAATCAATTTTCTCTCATTCACATCAATTAATGCCTTAGCGGTGGCTAGGAAAGGTTGTCATAGTATGAGGGGCATGTCAGTATCCTCACAATATACAGGATAACAAAAACCTTTGACAATAAAACTTTCCCACTCGAAGTAAGACATCCTCCAATATGCCTTTAGGACGAATCACAAACGGTCAACCAATGTAACAATCAACCTAGTGGATTCAAATTCACTAGGTTTAACTTCTTGAAAAGCTTGTATGGCATGACATTGATGCTAGCTCCTAAATCTGCCAAGGATTTCTCTATATGACACATTCCAATGCAAAGGGTGACAGTAAAGCTATATGGATCATGTTGCTTTTGAGGCAACTTGTTCTAGATAATGGCTGAGCACTCCTCGCTCAGAGTGACTGAGGCTAGGTCTTCAAATTTAAACTTCTTCGCGGGAAGCCCCTTGAAAAACTTTGCATACCTCGACATTTGGGCCATCACTTCCAGGAAAGGAACTGGGACATTTAGCTTTTTGAGGACTACATAAATTTCTCAAATGCTGTCTCCAAACGGTCCTTGTGAGTTCTTGTGGGTCAAGGAGGTGGAGGCTTATGCTAACCCACGACAGGTGGCGTCGGGGGTGCCTTCTTAGCCTCTTCATCCTTTCCTTCCAAACGAACTTGTTCATAAACCTTTTGAGGGGCTTCTTCAACTATTCCCTCCACCGCAACATCATGAGTTACCTTCCTGCTTCTTAGTGAAATAGCCCCTCACTCTTAGATCTTTGGGGTTAGCAATGGCTTGTGAAGGTAGAGCTCCTTGTGGTCTCTTCGTGAGGATCTTGGAAAGGTTACCGATTTGAGTCTCCATGTTTTAAAGACTTGTAGGATGACTTCTTAAACCTGCCTCAATCTAAGTAAACTTGTTTGTTGCGACTTCCATGAACTTCTCTCTTCTCAAACTTTTGAGAGCTCGTACTCACAAAGGTTGTGACTAGGTCTTTGAGTTTACCCTATGGGGCTGTCATTGTTGAGACCCGCGCACAACTTGTGGTTGATATTCTTGTTGTTGAAAGTTTAAATATTTGAATTGTGGCTTTTGTTGAACGAATAGAGGTGTTGGTTGGTAAGTGACTCACTAAAACACAACACTCCTAACTGTCGCAACCGCCCCTCGAGATCGGGATCCGCCGCGTCACGCTCGGAGTCGCTATCGACCTTAATTTGAAGTGGATCGAACACTTTTTGTGGTTTTAACTTTCTTAGTTAAATCCAAATAAAACTGGTCTACTAATTGAAGTTCTGGGTTCGGGAGTACAGTTACATGTGCGGAAGTGTATTCACACCCCACAACGCCCAAAATCGGTACTACCTAAATCAGTAAGTTTCCAAGGGTTGGGTGTTCTTATTATATATTGCATATTTTAGAGGCCAATTGGACTATGGAGCTAAAAAAATGAAATTCGATGAGATTTTTACGTCTATTAACGTACATCATAAGAGAATGAAAAATGATTTTAGTTAATTCAATGTTTTGAATGATTTACGAAGTGATCTCAACAAGTTCGATTGATCTTGATTGATTAAGATGCTAATTTGAATTTCTAGGAAATGTAGTTTGATAAGTAGGTAGTGCCTTTAAAATAGTTTCGTCATAAAATGCCTATAAGGATCTATTGATCATGATCTCTGCGGAATAAATAAGACCAAAGAGCGTTATAAATATGAATCTGAGATACTTAGCCTAGTGGCTAAACGTCTTAGATCAAGAAACATGAGCGTGCAGGGACCTGGTTTGACGCAAATTATTGATAATTTTTTAGTGATTTCGTTTTCAGAAAGGAAGGTGTCAGGAGGGTTAAATTTAAGCAAAATAGAGAGGGCAAAGTAGGGATGACAAAATTATCTGTAACCGTGGATATCCGCCCGAATCCGGCCTAATCGGATATGGTAAAATCCAAACCCGAACGACATTTCGTGGGTATGGGTAAAATCCGAACCCGAATATTGCGGATGATGGGTGGGCATGAGTTTCTCACTATCCAACCCAAACCCCCGATTATACACATGCATATGTATTTTGTCTACAAATAATAATTTTTTTCTCTAACGGATTTTATATTTAGGATATAAATATAACATTTTCATGAAATTGTGTTCTTTTAGTTAATTTTCTTCATTCTAGTGAATTATTGTTGTATTTTTCCTCTTACGTAATGTGAGAATACATGTGAAAGTTAACTTATTGGTTGAAGTTATGAAGAGTAATTATTACCCATGTATAACCGTGGATACCCGAAACCCGAACGGGTATGGACATGGTTTTGATTTTGTACGCATTTCTCATGTGGGTATGGATATAGGTAAAACCCGAATTACTTTTGGTAGAGTAATGAATATGCACTATCCGCCCCGACCGACCTATTGCCATCCATAGGGCAAAAGGGTCATTATAGAGAAACGAGAATAAACAAGCGGATGGAAAACCCTAGCCGCATGCCCTAGCATACGTTTTCATTCTTTCTCTGCTCTCAATCTCTCTTAGTCTCTTTCATTTTTTTCTTCTCTATGAAAACAGAAGACCAAACTCTTGTTTGTTCTTTCCTCTAGGAAGTAACTCTAACAAAAATCGATCCTTTCCTCCTCTACCCCGATCCGTGGCTATCCTCCTCCTCCCTCTCGTACTAGTATCCTCCAAATCCATGGCCGCCCTGCACCTCTCCTCTCGATCCATTTGTTCTCTCATTTAAATAGCGATGATAACGAAGAAATCAAAAATCCGGTAAGCCCCTTTGACATGCATGTTGGTTTTCTTTCGAAATCTAGTTTAAGAATGAGATTCTGATATTTCCTGGGCTTTGATTTGTGCCGTTGATTTTGGCTTCTGATGGATTTGGTCTCGATAAAGGGGAGAAGAAAGGAACCTTGATCTCCGGCGGCAAAGCTCTGTCAACGGCGATGGCAGGTGAGATTTCTGTTTCGGTAATTTTTATTTTCGGTTTACTACCCCTTTAATCTATTCTATTCTGACATGGCCTCTACTCTTGTTCTCCTAGATTTTGAGGTTTGGATGTGGGAGAAGTATACGAGGGAGACTGGAGCAGAGTATGTTCCGATGATGGTGACACAGATTTGGTGAGGTTTATTTTTTTTATTTTGATGATCTCTTAGTTTTTGGTTTCTTATCTGCTTGTTTTATTTTGTGCAGATTTTGAAAGGGAATAGGTCAGGTAGGTTTTCCTTGAACTGGCTCACTACGGCTAGGAGGATAAGACTACAAAATAAGGGTTTTGCTATGGATTTGAGAATGATCTATAGATCTGAGTTTCTGGAAAAAAATTGTCGTGCATGTGACGTTTTGATTCTAGAAAGTATGTTTGCGAGGGTTTAAAACTGAGAATTTGCGGTTTGTTTGTGGATTTGGCAGTTTTGAGGGTTTGGGATTATTTGGTGAATACCCCTTTTTTATTTCAATCGAATGATGGTATTTTTATCCATATGCTAGAAAATAAAGGAATTGAAATATATGACATAAATAAAGGAATAGCAATCGACAGGTAGTAAATATCGTAATAGAAATGGAATGGAAAAATCATGAGTAGATGTTAATTAGCAAAATAATATGTAAACCAGAGTCTTTACTCAAGTAGTTAGCTGTTGTTAGTGGTTAATATATTAATCGTGCTAAAAATAAGTTAATAATGAGACCAAAAATGAAACTTAAACTGAAGAGCTGATAAAATAAACTAGATGAGATTTCTCTTTTAAGTCAGTTTAGTCAATGTGTAGTTATTAGAGTTGATTGATTTTTTTATAAAAATTCTTGTATTGAAAGCTAAAAATTAGATGATGGTGGTTGATAGGAGTAATTAGCAGTAGCAATAACACCAATAATAATAGAAAGCAGCTTTGGGAAGAACGAAATGAACAAGAAATGGGAAGAGGAGAGTGATACAGGAAGCCGTCTTATTAGAAGTGGATTGATGATTAACCTTTGATTTCTTGTGCTTTTGTTTGCTTGGAAACCTTCTGCTTCTATTACAAAGAAAATGAAAATAAAAGAACAGAACAGTGTTTATCTCTCTCTCTGTGTTTCCCCCAGAACTAACTGAAAAGAGAAACATCTCTAAACTGACACAGTGAAAGAAGTGAAAGTATTTTCCCCTTCTCGGAAAAGTTGTCCCTTTGTTGAAAACTGACCTCCTTTTATAGAAATTTGAGGCAGTGGTGGTTGGGTTCAGCCGGATCAATTATGGTTCGACCACTCCATCGGGTTGGGCCTTTTCTGGGCTGGCCAGGATCTGACCCATGAGATCTTGGGCTCTCTTGGGCCTGACTGTGGGCTATGATCTTCTAGGCCGAGTTGGGCTGCTTTAGTCTGGGCCTGGCGTTTGGACTAACTGGTTTTTCTTTTTTGCTTTGCAGGTTCAAGGTTGATTTCCTTTAAAGGAGATGGTGGATTAAGCCTGAAATTTATTGAACACGTTGTAATTCTCATGTAGTAATTATGAATTGTTATTCTGATTGTAATTGTCAATTAGCAATAATTTTAGGGCTAATACCACTAGGAAATCCGAACTATTAACTTTGTGTCATTTGTGTCATAAAGTATCCGATATGACATTTGTGTCCCAACCCATTATAGTTTTGTGTCATTTATGTCATGACGATTTTGTTTACCGTTATATATAACGGTTGACCAAACGAAAATCAACATTAACATTGACTTTTGCTGATGTGGCCACCACGTAGATGCCACGTCAGTGACACCTCATATTTTTAATAAAAAATTAAATAAAAAAATAAAAAATATATTGTTATAAAAATGATTAAACCTAATTTTATTTATCTTTTTATATCACTTAAAAAAGTCAATAAAATAAAAGAAGAAAAAGCTCTCCTCCCTTCTTCCGTCAATCTCTCCCCATAATTGTACCCTTCTTCTGTCAATCTCCTCCGCCAAATGCGTCCTCTCTCTTCCTCAATCGGGCCGCCTCCTCCTCTCTCAACATCTCTCATCCCTTCTTCTTCTTCTTCTTCTTCTTCTTCTTCTTATTCTTCTTGTTCTCCTTCCTCTCCCCACTCCCCTCAGATCCACCTCCTCGATCCCCAAATGGTTGTCGTACCGGATCAAAATCCTGGTTGAAGCTGGCACGCCGCCATCGTTGGATTTCACGAACCTGAATGGCACCGCGTCCATGTTCGCTCTCAGACCGAACCACGGCTGCGACCCTGACCCGACCGAACCAACGACCCCGGTCTCCGCCACCAGCTGACTCGTGTTGAATTCTTGGAAAGCCAGCTCCGGATCCTCGTGGATCCTCCTCCGGATGCTTCTCAGCCATCCCAAGAACTCCGGCTCTCTTGCCATCTGCAGCAGCTCCTTAGTGAGTGAAGTCAGACCCGGCTGACTCGGACGATTCTCCGCCGCGGCGGCGGTAGCGAAGTGACACGTGCAGAGCACCATCATTAGAGTGACTAACCACGCCATTGGTAGAAAGGAGAAGGAGTGAAGTTCAATTCCAGTTGGAGGGAGGAGATTTTAAGCCTTAGGAGGAAAGAAACGGGTCGCTTTCGTTCGTTTCGGTGGCGGAAGTATTGATAGCCAGGTAACCACCGCCGCCATCGTTGAATTTCACGGCCATGGCTGCTGGGAGAAGAGATAAGAGTGAGTGGAAGACAGGGAGATTTTTTTTTGTAATTTTGTTTTTTTTAGGTTATTCATTTATATGGAAAATAATTATAAATTGATATAATAAATTCCACGTCAGATGCCACATTAGCGTTGACTAAAGTTTCTGTTAAAAATTAACGGTCAACGCCAGTCAACTGTAATGGAAAGATAGTTTGGGACACAAATGTCATATTGGATACTTTAGGACACAAATGACACAAAGTTAATAGTTTGGGTTTCCTAGTGGTATTAGCCCATAATTTTAATACAACGTGCTTCTTTATTATTATTATTTATGTTGTGCCAAAAGCCGAGATTGGAAGCCAATCGATCTTATTAGATCCAATGGAATCGAATTCGAATAAATTCTGCAATAGTTGATATTTTAAATTCGCATTGGCCAATCTAACATCTTACGACATTTCACGATTTAAGTTATAATTTTTAGTTGGATAATTTACCCGGACAAAATGAGTTGTCTACATTAACAATTGCCAAGTATAACCACTGTGAGGGACTACAATAAAGTGGGTTCGGTTTAGATTGTCTACCCGGTTCCTAGGTGGTCTGCCTTCTCCGTGAATGTTTTATTTTCTAGCTATCGATTTGTGATGAAGTTGTGGAAAACAAAGTAGCAGAAAAAACAAGTAAATTGTTCGGTTTTCAAATGCAAGAAGTGTCACTCATGCATGTGTCCTCCTATCTCCTCAATTAGGTCCGAGTAGTAATTGCCTTTATTTTTTTTTACAAATAATTTAACCGTGGAAGATCCAAAAATAGCTTAGAATTTCTTAGGCACAACACCCAACGGGTGACTAACCTCCACCAGAGTAAAAGGCAAAGGAAATGAATAAAATAATTCCTTTAATGGAATGATTTCCAGTATAGAGTAATGAATCGATCGAATCTCGTCTGATCGATTCACCACTTCCAAATTGAAGTAGCTCTATTAACCCAATCAGATTCTATCTAGCTTATGTTAGAGCAGAAATCAAGAGAATGTGACTAAGATCCAAATGACTCAAACATTCATACTTCAATTGAATATAATCAATCAGTTTAACATCCAAAGGTTCATACAACATTGATCCTAACACACAGAACTAGGGTTCCACACACCAAAATGAAGAGGAGGTTTACTCCATCTTTGTCACTTTCTCTCTAGAGTTCTTTTGGGTTGTTTCTTGAAGTGCAAATCGGATCCCTACAAAAAAATGAGATTTTTTTCTTTTTATACTAGCTCGGATTAGGTTCCCTAGTCGCATTCCACGAACGGTAATTCTACCTTGAACCCCAGGAATCCCAAAACTTTATGCATGGATAAGTGAGGAAGCTCGAATTACCCAGTCTGGCCACTAAAATCCCCGACCGGAGAAAAACATCGTATGATTGAGGAATATCTCCTGCAATTATCCCCAGTCTGCTCTCTACGATCCCCAGTCGGGTTTTGAAGGCCCTATGCCACGTATATACCTGGTCCAGCCAACTTTTGTATGTTGTCTCCAGCTTGACTCGAACACCGCTCCTAAGCTTCCTTTCATGTTCGAGGATTGGAAATATCATGCCTAAGAAATGGGGTACTAAATATGTGTAAACAAAGTGTTATCAAAGTCGCCCACACTTAAATGTTTGCTTGTCCCCAAGAAAACCAAGTCTGTTCAAAACGTTTTAACCATGCAAACTTTGGGAACGTATGATAGAGGCACAAAACACGTGAATCATACTGGCTACTAGACATCAACATGTAAACAACAACGATAGAAACTTTGACAACCACCACATGTGACATTCGAGTGCAGCAAAATCGGGTAGATGAAGAGTCTCCCCTCTGTTCATCGACCAACATAGACTCGACTCAATCACTCATTCAAAATAGTCAATGCATAGAAATCAAGACATCAGAATCAAGACCGAGAAATCTAGGTCCTCACCGGGATATATAACATGGAGAAATGAATCACTCACTCACGCCCATTGGGGTCAAGACAAAATTTGATGTAAAATATGTGCATGCTGATACTCAATCCCTATCGTCTCCTCACCATGACGAAAACCTCTAAATGCTAGATTTCACATATCCGGTGTCACCACTAACTTGTTTAGAGGACATGATCGGGTTCAAATGAAACTGGATGGGTCTAGGACTTGGGGATTAGGGCTTTCAGGTGGTGCTAATAATCATGACACAAGGTTCCAAAGTTCCAAACCTACCGCAATAACTTTCAATCAAACCAATTTCTTTCTCTGCTATTCCACATTAATCACGTTGTTTACGGCACAGGAGTGAAGGAAGTAACGATGCAACATTGTCTCCAAGCCAGATTGCTTGGACGCATTCATTTTAATGAGTACGATTAATTTTTGTGGCGATTCTCTTCTTTTTCTTGCATTTCTTTTTTTCTTTTCTTTTTTGAGAACCACAAACTTTTGCCACATTCTTTATCTTTTCAAGCACATGCCCAACTTTTAAGAACTGCCTCCAGCACTCACTTTATTTATAGCAGAAAACATGCAAAAACTACTTTATGAAACCTCTAAGAGATGCATAAGGCTGATTTTTCATTGTAGACATAAAAAAGAAAGTTACACGGCTCAAAGGGGCTGACTAAGTGAGTATGACACACCAAGACATTCAATTTGGACATGGGCTAATCCTATGCTTCCTTCTTCTTAATTAGTGGCAATTTGTATGCTACACATCATGGTAAGAGGGATCTATCGCGCAAGAAAGGAACCAGAAGGCTCAAACCTCACATAGCTACCTATATGTTCTATCCCTCATTCTCATCCCTTAACCTCTATGCATAAATGACTGTAAGAAATGAGTGATCAAACCAAGTCACAGTTGGTAAGTAGACATGTGGAAATTGAACCCCTACACAAACCTACTACACATCTCAATCATCATTATAGGTTGTATCAATCACAAACAAGTTATTCATGCATCAATGCTAACAACCAATCGATTCACCATAGATAAACACAGTGCCAATATGATATTGCAAACAACCTTACTTGGAGCCCTCAAATCTTAAAATTTGGATAGTGGATTAGGCTCCAAGCACACATACATAGCCAAAAAGTTCCAAAATAATCTAACACCCCTCTACACTTAAGATTGACATTGCTCTCAATGGAGTAGAGGTAGGAAAATGGGAACGATGTTACCGGTATAAAGTGTCTGTTGACGGGACTAGAGATGGGACTAGTCAATGAAGCATATTGGAAGACAAACCAGTTGCTGCAAGAAGGGCTCAACACAAAAAACCACTAGACCATGTGAAAGTTAGGAACAGTCATAAGCCCAAAGGGGCACAAAACCAAAAGAAAGGAGACAAAATATGTAGTTGCACACTCTTCACACGAAGAAAACAAAACACAAAATACAAAGAAAAGGTTGATGATCACGCTGGAGCTCTGAGGTCGGTGAAGTCGAGTCCGTTACGAATGTGTCGTCACCCTGTGAGGGAGGTAACTGTGGTAGGGTGTCCTCCTAGTGGATAGTATAGGTGGTTGGTCCTGTGCCCGTTGGACAAGGAAATGTTGGGCCTTCATGAGCCAGCTACTCCTTTCCTGCTCTCGGTTGAGGAGACAAGGATCACGCCCTACTAGGCCTCGTACCTGTCCAGCCAAGCTGTGAATGGGGCTTGTTGTAACACCCCACCCTGTACGTATTACATAATCAAATTGTTTAAGCATTCGTAGCGTAATGGGCTAACAGTTCTAAATAATCTCGGGTGTTACATTAGTTACTAAAATTAACCCAACTAAAATTTCGACATGAATTACTCGCATAATAGGCTAATAGTTCTTGCAACTAGTCATGCAAAATAATTTATTTGAATCCCCTCATTCATTGCCATACATATATACTCACAACCATATACATTGGCTTTTCATATATACCTATAGCCACAGTTTCATACTGGGTAACTTTATACCATACCATACATGCCATAATCATCACTACATACACACATGTCATCAACTTTCCACACCTGTGGATATCTCACACTACATTAGAAACTAGTATGCACATGAAAAGGTTCTCAAAACAATTTTACAAAAAGGTGTGGATCACTGGCCAAAATCTCGAGTAGTCATCCAAGCACAAAATAGTTGAAGACAATATCTCATCCCTCCTTCAACTCCTAGCTCAGCTCACACCTATGTACTTTGCTACTGATGCTGCTAATGATATGCTTATACATGACATAAGCATATGAAAATAATAAAAGAGGGTCAACTCATAGCTGAGTGAGAGAATCATTGCATCGTGAGTTCATAATAAAGCATACCCCTACCTTACATCTAGCAATCAAGCCAAAACACCAGGGTCAGACCTCAGCCATCCAACATCCCAATAGGCAAAAGACTCAACCACCTTGACTTATGCATATGTATCTTATCATGTTTTAATCATAGGTGCCTGGCTAGTCCATGCTAATTACTCTCCCGGGAAAACGGACCAAACATCTCGTGGATGTGGTCATATCGGACCCACTACTGTGGGTGTAGTCATATAGGACCTAACACCACTCTGGGTATGGTCATACACGACACCACTCTAGGTGTATACATATCTCATGATGAATCAACGGTCGACACCACATCAGAGGTGTGACATAACATATCATAACGGAGTAATAGCATGGGGAGCCCTAATTACTATGTAATTGAACATGAGACCAAAACACTCTTGTTTGGTAACCCTACACATGATCCATAACTCATCTTGCTTAATCTTAGCTCATTACTTGGACATGTACTTGACCCGGCCACAATTGGCTCAACATAGGTAAATCAGGAGTCGTATAAATGCACTTCCTCTGTATAAACCCTTGTGCAAGTCATCCTCCTCAAACATCATAATATCACCCTGGGATATATATTATCCCACTTGTGCATCCAAATACAACAATCATGAAAAATCATACCCATTTACCTTCTCGAACCATCATAAGTCATATAAACAACCAAGCCCACAAATTGCAACATATACGCAATCATTAGCATAAACAATCAAGCC